ATCTGGACATTTATGTATTGTACTGCATAACCTCCACAGTCCAACACTTCCCAAACCAAATACTGCCACCTGTTATTCTATAGTATATATATTCTGAGCCACTACCTCTTTAGTTCTTTCTCTCTCTCCAATCTTTCATCTGTGCAGCCGAATAGTCCAGCTACCTGCCTCGTGTACTGTATAACCCAGTCCTGAGGATCATGTACTGTAGGTTTGTACTGTTGGATCCCTCCTCCAACTGTTCGTGAATATTGAATTACTGGATGTTCAATTCCAAACGTATTGTCTCGAGGCTCTAGAATCTAAAAAAAATTCTTCATGAAAGAAAACTTGATTTTTAAGTCAAAAGCCATTAATTAAAGTCTTCTGAATGTGTTTATGCAGTAAACTCCATAGAATAGAAGTACAATATTTAAGATATTAAAGCAATAATATTATGAACTATAAATTGCCCCCCCCCCAGCGTATCCTGGTTTTCAAGTACCCCAGCGGGGATAGGGTTAACAAAATTGACTTGCGGATTTGATCAACAGGCGATAAACAAGAAAATTGACAGAACTTGACACTTTTCCGGACAGAATAACAATAATATCCTTCCAGATTGTTTCTCATTTGAAGATTTAAAGGTAAATTGGACATCACATTATACGTCTATATTCCCTTTAAGATTTTCTGCCGATTGTCCAACTGCACAGATGCAAAATGCACAGCTTGCATATTTTAGCCAATCATAACAATGCGCGCATAGGCGCGCAGTTTATATCATCATTTTTTTACAGATTTTACAGAGTGTATCAATAAACAAATCCATCTTATAAACTCATGGAAAAGAAAGTTTTTGGAAAAAAGTCTATGAAAAAAAACACCAAAAAAAAAATACGAAATCGATTAAAATCCTTTGAAAAAGTCTTTGGAAAAAATTTATATTAGTTTATATCAAGGACTTCCGGATATCATACTGAGACTACCATTAAAGTCACAAAAAAATAATTATAAGAAGAAATTTATCCAAAAAATAAGTCCAAGGAAAAAATATCATAGAAAAGAAAGTCACGAAAATATACTAGGTTACAATACACGGTATAGTTCACTAAATAAACATGATCAAAGAGGGGAACCAACACACTAATAAAATATCTACAAGAAATTTCAAATTCTTAATAAAAGTATTCACCCCTTTCAGTGGGCTGAAACCATACCGTGACTGGATATAACACTTTTGGATACAAAATAATGACTTCAATTACTGCAACACTTTTTGCCGCTCACAGTTCTATGGCTATTTTAAATTGTTTATCTTGCAGAAATATTACAAAAAAAAACATATTGTTAGAAAGAGTCCCAGCAGCCTTTTACCATTAACAAATAATATACTCTTACGGGCGTAGCTTTTTTTGAAATCATAATTGCATGTTTATTGGGACACCCTGTACATTTCTGAATTTCTAATCAAATTGGTAACTGTCCGAGGCTTCATGTATTTAAAATTAACTAATTAATCAACTGCAAAGGTTATCCTTTAATTAGAAGATGTTTAAAAAAATGGTCTCAGAATTTGTCTGAAATAAAAAAACTGCAGGGCGGAAAAACGTTACCAATGGTATTTAAATCAATCAAAAATTTATTATTAAAGAAAGTTCTTAAAAAACAACTCTTAACAAAAAATCTTCACAATTCTAAATTTCAACTTCTATATCTTTGCAATCTGATATCGTAAGTCGCAGACTTATGATATTTAAAACCATGATGATGTTATATTAAATAGTTTGGAACGAGGGTACAATTCTTTTTATTTTTGTAATCCGTAAAAATTTGATTTTTCTAAATTCAATTTCTATATTGTAAGAGGCCCATAGATGAACCAGTTGTCTCAACGAAACTAAAATTAACAAAAACAAAATAAAAATACTCATAAAATGAAATCTTCCTAAGCAAGATCATGAAAATAAAGTAAAAATCCTTTAATGTATCTTTCAGGGCCTCCTCAAAGAAAACAAATTGCATATTATTTAAAAAAGGAAAAGCTGGTTTTCATTTTTTTGCATTAATTATCCAAGTTGTGCATATTTTATTAGCATTTAATATTTAGAAAAATTTGCGTGCCAGCATTTTTTAATTTAAATTTTTACTAACATATTCTTTATTTAATGACATGATTTTCAGAAAAAAAATCCATTAAATTTTTTAAAATTTTTAACTGGTATCCATAATTTGTTTATATTAATGTACTCAGTTGGTTACAAAGAGAATAGAATATATATTAGAGGGGAATTTACAAGAAACAATTGTAAAACGGCCATTTTGTTGTATTGTTTCCATACTGCAGGTGTACTTCACGTATTTACGCTTTATAACCTTTTGGGCCCTAAAATATCATTTTAAAGAAAATCTAAAATTAATATTAAAAGAAAACCAAATTATGAAATAGGCTGGTTTCATAATTGACCAATGATCATTTCACATGGACTCTATGCCCTTTACTTTACTTTAAATCAAATGATGTTTTTATTCACCTAATTCGAAATTGAAATGAATAGTCTAGGGAACATACTGTATTAATGTTCTCTACTGCATATAATTTGTGAACATTTACATGGTTTGTACACTTTGAATTCACTTTCAGGCTGAAAGGGACTGAAAAAATTTATACCAAGAGATTATCTAAATTCCTCTCTAATATATATTCTATTCAGTATTCTCTATGGTTGGATATAAACTCCGGTTAATTTCAAGTACCGGACAGACATTTAACCAGCCTGGCTAGAGCAAGCTGTACAGTACAATTACAGACTAAAACCGCGGGACAGTACGCTAATTGGATGATCCCCTTCTAGACTAATAGTACGCTAATTGGATGATCCCCTTCTAGACTAATAGTACGCTAATTGGATGATCCCCTTCTAGACTAATAGTACGCTAATTGGATGATCCCCTTCTAGACTAATAGTACGCTAATTGGATGATTGGATTCTAGAGAATTTTAATGCGTGAGACTTAGCTCCAAAATTATTAAAAAAGTTTTTCGCACTTGATAATACCCATTACAATGAAACAAATAGATACGAAAGCTCTACCATCAGCTCAATCCAAATTAAGTGAGAAAATGATTTCTAATTTAAAAACTAAATTAATTTATTTATCAAAATAATTAAATTAATTAAAACAGTCATTTTCGTCATTTTTCCATAGATGGTGACTAGTTTTGTAGTTTACAATGACTTAAATATACGACTTTTTCAGAAACCTTTTCAAAAAATATTTCGTGCTAATTGACATACAAAATATTTTTTTGAGTCTTGAATTGAGTCTTTGTCACAATCTCAAATTTTCGAATAAATATCTTAGCAACCTTATCGTGTAAACCTTTGATATTTCAAACTTAGATTGTTTTGTCTATAAACATTTGTAGTTTGAAATATCTAAGGTTTACGACTTTGGGTTGCAAAGATATAGAGATTAGAAAATCAGAGATTGTGACAAAGACTCAATTCCTTTATGTATAATATGTTATTTGGTTTTTCGAATTCAAACTAAATCTAAAATAATTAAATGTCATATTTCCAAATGCAGACAGACAAACATAGCATTGCTTTGAAATCATTTTTAACATTCAAGGTTTTTGGCTCCACAAAAATGTATTACAGGGACTATGTGTAACTTCACGCGACCTTCACACACTTATATGCGATTCCATTAGCGCCTGATCCAATCAGGGTTCAGACATGTGTTTGGTGTCTATTCTGAACCAATAGAAATTTAGCTTTCTATCTATCTCATTATCCAATTAGAGATGAATCCTTATATCGGGGCTAAACAGTAATATTTACTTCTACTGAAACTATAGTGGGCAGATGCACCCTTGATTAACTATTGCACTTCAAACTCTCGTTCATTTAGAATATTTGGCTGACTATTATGCACAGTCCCAGAAAATTGTTCAGTATGGATGCAATTGTTTGATCTGAAAATTATCGTTCATTTTCCATCTATTTCGTTCATTTTCTCACTGAATGGTCGTTCATCAAAATCATTCGTTTAATAAAATCGTTCTATCAGTAATATCATTCGTTCAGTAAAACCATTTTTTCAATAAAATTGTTCGTTAAGAAAAAATATCGTTTTTGAAAAATTTTATTAACCCTATCTCTGCTGGGGTACTTGAAAACCAGGATATGCTGGGGGGGGTCAATTTGCCCCCCCCCTCTAAATCCCATGTTTGATGACCAAATATGACAAATGATACATCATTGGAAAGCTCTTGTGCTCTACTTTTCGAATCTGCAAAAAAATTTGCAAATTTGCAAAAATTGAATTTTTTATCGCAAAATCCAGTTATATAGTAAAAATATTTGCAAAAAAAACTGTCCAAAAATTGAGAAATTATATATTTTTGAAAAGCCCTTGACGATGCCATTTCAAATATGCAAAAAATTTTGCAAAATTTCAAATAACCTGAATTTTAATCAAGAAAAACTAAAAATGTGCAAATTTCTTTTGACAGGTTGTTTGCAAAAAATTTGCTATTTTTTTCGCAAAACTTGTGCAATTCGTTTCCTTATGTCAAAGGCTTTCCAAAAAGCTAAATTTTATGAAAATCTGACAAGTGGAAGTGGGTCAAAACAAAGATTTAGTTTGTTACAGGAAAAAGCAGTCATTCAGGCAGTGTGCCTGAGGACTCAGGCAGTTAGTAGCCCGGTTTTAAGCCTAAAGGGAGGGCTTTGGGTATGTAGGAAAATTCAGAAAATTTCAACATCCTAAGTCCAATACTTTTTGACTTATGTAAAAAAACTACAGGGGGGGGGGGGTCAAATTGACTCCCCCCCCCCAGCAGGAATAGGGTTAAAAAATTCGGTTATTCAGTAAATAACCAAAGTTTTTTCAAGTTTATTCGAACGATACTTCGACCGCCCACGGTTCGTTTTTACTGAACGACACCATCGTTCACAAAAAATTCGTTCGTTCGCAAAAACAAAACCCATCTGTATGTTTGTCTGTTTTACCTTATAATATTCCCAGGTTGAATATTCAGATTATCCAAATGTATATTATCCAGATCACTGCCAGGACTAAACCAAGGATTATAATCAAATCAAAATTGGGGAAATCTCAACAAAATAAAATAATTTAAAATTGGGTTAACCAAGCCAAAACAAAGTTTGTTGACTTCTCAACTATAGCTCATTTACAGAAAACACTATTATTTCCCCCAAACTATCTTTTTATATGTGATCATTTTAATTGTGAAAGAGTATATTATTGAAAATACTAGGAGAAGGCTCACGATTGAATCCTCGAATCCTCGATATTATTTGGACAGCTTTAATTTAATTACAAATAACTTTGGAATAGAAAGACGAGCTTTAGACTTTAAACAGTTCAATGATCATGAGACACAAACATTATGCAGTTGATACAGACCTATTTGTTTATTGTATTGCTTTGTTGTCGTCTTTATATTTCACAGTTTTATGATTCTGACTATAAATTGTATTAGTTATCTTACTTTTGACTAATACAGCATCTTTGTAGGTCAGCTAGATCAAGACAGGAGGAAACAGATACATCACTAAACAGATACATCAATAAACAGATACATTACTAAACAGATACATCACTAAACAGATACATCACTAAACAGATACATCACTAAACAGATACATCACTAAACAGATACATCAATAAACAGATACATCACTAAACAGATACATCACTAACCGGATACATCACTAAACAGATACATCACTAAACAGATACATCACTAAACAGATACATCAATTAACAGATACATCACTAAACAGATACATCACTAAACAGATACATCGCTTAACAGATACATCACTAAACGAAAATATTTATTTTTTAAATCAAACTATAACCAATATTATAGTCAAGAATAAAACTATTTTTTACCAAAACAAACATATATAACCATCTCAATCTTCGATAAAACTATTTAAATCTGAAATAAAACTATTTTTTATCGACATTAAAACTATCTTTAACTAACATAAAACTATTAGTATTCAAACTTGAACCATTAAAATGTAAAATAACAAATGTGAATGTAATGTAAATAACAACTATGTTTATCTACATAAAACCATTTTAATCTCAAATAAAACAAATTTTTATCTCAATAAACCCATTTTGTATCTGACATAAAAACATTTTTATCTAACATAAAACCATTTTTATCGACAATTAAACAATATTCATATAAAATGTAACTTTTTTTTAAAACCTAAAACCATTTTTATCTAAAATATGACCATTTTTTTCTAAAATATAACCGATTTTAAATAAAATAAAATCATTTTATCTAAAATAAAACTATATTACTGAAACTAGCTATAGTACCCGGCGTTGCTGTAGAATTTAAAAAAATGAAATTTTGTATAAAAAAGATTTTTGAAAAAATATTGATTTATTTTTTAAATCAAAAACAAGTCTTTCAGGGTGCTATGTTACGTTTCCTCCGAAAAAATTTTAGCTTTTAACTCTGAAAGGATTTAATCGTATATCTGGAACATTTTTTAATCGTATATCTGTGTGTATCGTTGAAGTGTACTGTACCCGTCTGTTCTGCCTGTATAGATGGAGTGTACTGTACCTGTCTGTTCTGTGTGTATAGCTGGAGTGTACTGTACCTGTCTGTTCTGTGTGTATAGCTGGAGTGTACTGTACCTGTCTGTTCTGTGTGTATAGCTGGAGTGTACTGTACCTGTCTGTTCTGTGTGTATAGCTGGAGTGTACTGTACCTGTCTGTTCTGTGTGTATAGCTTGAATCTGAGCTAGTTGATGAACTAGTACGAGGTCTACACTCTATTCCACGGAAACTAATAGTAAAATCAAATAGGATTTTCGTTCCTATTTACATACTATTAAGTATTAATTTTAACAAAGAACTACAGATTAACTTTTAATTTCGCCTCTACAGGTATGCTGAAATTCCAAGATTTTTTCATCACAAATTGTATGATATATATATATATATATATATAGTATCTTCATATCTGCTTAAACATATACTATATATATATGTTATAATGTATATTGTATAGAATCTGTATATTTGCTTATCTGTCTATCTTTCTATATATCTGATTGCAAATGTGTCAGCTATATATCTATCTATCTATCTATCTATCTATCTATCTATCTATATATCTATCTACATTTTTATCTGTCTATTTATTCGATTTTACATACATCTGAGCCGAATTTAAAGAATTTGAGCCACGGCTTGAATTTGAGACGCGGCTAAAATATGGTTGGTTCCACTTAAAATCGTATTCTATATTTAAAGATTAAAACCGGCGCTCATTTGAAACCGGTTTTGGCGGATTTAAGACGCGGCGGCTCAAATTCATTAAATTCAGACTTTGTATATATCTGTGTATAACTCTATCTATTTACCTACTATCTACAATGACAACCAGAAAACTCTGAAATTGGAATACAACTAAACATCAATATAGAAATAAGTCTATTCGGCCTGGGGGCGGGGGCAATTTGACTCCCCCCCCCCCCGTAGTTTGTTTTACATAACTCAAAAAGTATTGGTTTGAGGCTGTTGAAATTTACTGACGTTTCCTAAATGCCCATAGGCCTCCCTTTAAGTCTAAACCCGGGCTTTAATACTAACTGCCTGGGTACTCAGGCACACTGCTTGACTGACTACTTTTTCTTGTAACAAACAAAATCTTTGTTTTGACCCACTTTCAGTTGTCAGATTTCGATAGTTTTTAGCTTTTTGGAAAGCCTAAAACATAAGGAAACGGAATGCACAAGGTTTGCAAAGAAATTTTTGCTACTTATTTGCATACAACTATTCCAAGTCATAACTTGAGACTAAAAGTCGTCTTTATTTTTTAGAGTTTTGTGGTTATCACTGTATCGGTATATCTAAATATAGTATACCTAAACGATGATGGACTGGATGGTTCATTACTGAACAGTGAACAAGAACTTAAACCTGAACACATATTTGTTATGAACTTATAAATAATAATTAAGTTGTTAATGACCTGAAGATAAATTCCAAACTCTAATTACGTATGGAATTATACCATTTCAACTTTCAACTGTGGTTACAGGGTGAAAATAATAAAGAAAAAAAACTCATATATTTGCAACTCATGGGTAAATCAATCATTTCATTAGATCTCTCTGAAACCCATATTTACTAAGTTCCATTGGTTGTAATATATTCATCATCTAAAGCAAAATTAAATTAAATGATATAAAAGTTTACAATTTAATACTAATACTCTTTTCGCTGGATATCGCATTTTATGATTGACAGGGTTTGCCAAAAAACAGGTGACATACAAGACTTTTAGCATGAGTAGAGTTTAGCTATTCAGAGGTGGTTTTCAGAAATGGAGTTTCTTGGTCCCAGTCTAGTGTTTTTCGTTATCTATGATGACAGCACTGCAAGGCTTGTTAGATTTTTGCACATTGCTTTGAAACTAACACTGGGTTTGCAGAACTTATTTCTTTAGATTTGCTTTATTTGATGGTGCGACATATCCTCTTGAGCCGATTTCAAAAGGGTGAACAGACACATCCCTAGTTGTTATATCTGTGATAAAATGTTTATACTTGTTCATCTTTTGAGTGTTGGCATTTTTGATATTTGTTTCCAATAGGACAGTAAGCTCAAAAATGTCCATCTTTTCCTCGCTTTTATCGTTAATTACTAGATCTGGTTTCTGTGCGGTCACAAGTAGGTTAGGGGAACAGTACCAGTACCATTGGTTGTTATAGTTCAGAAGCTGATACATAATACTGATTTCTTTTAAGAAAGACATGGTTTATGTGACCATTTTGTGCTTTACCTTGTACATTGATATTTTTCTAAATGCTTTTTTAAAATTACTTGTGAGGGGCATACTCAAGCAAAATTACTTTCATCATCAATTTTTCACAATGGATTTATTTCTACGGATTTTTTCACTAACCTGAGCATGATCCAGTAGAATTTGTACTTGAGGCTCTCTCTAAACGAGCCTAAGATAAAATAACATGAATTAAAGGAACTATCAACGTATTTCAAAGAAAATTGCAAAACTAAATTTTGAAAGATTTTTGTTTAGTTTACCCTGACTTTGTGCATTGCTCGTTCCTTTTCCTTCTTCAGTTTACTGCTCTCCATTGACGCTGCTCGCCGTCTGCATTAAACATTTTATTATTCAAAAATCCAGGTTTAAAAGGACCGAAGACGTAGTTAGTTATAAGTAACACTTCATTGCTAAAGTGGCATGCCCTACTACTGACGCGGCCCGCCCTTCCATATGATTATACATGCTTTGCAGACGGTACTCCATCTATATATGAAATATTTGTCTAATGTACAATTACCGAGTATACACTTCTATTCTGAATATTTCTCATACAAATGGAGTACCGTATGCAAAGCATGTATAATCATATAGAAGGGCGGGCCGCGTTAGTTGTATCTCCCATCTATTCTATACTCCTTGCAGTAATATACCGGAGGCGGAGGTAGAAGGCTGGTCATTACACCGCGGGGAAGGGAGGGGGGGGGGGGGTTACCTGGGGGGTTTTGGTGCTTGTTTAATTTCTGGTGCAATAGTCCACCAACTTGATTTTCCTGTTCCTTCATTTTGAACTTTGACAAACTTAGTGTGTAGAGACAGATTATGCCGAATAGAATTCTAAAATAAAAAAATATAACTAAACAATGTTTTTTTGGAAGGATGCTTGTTTAATAATAAAATGAAATTCTGAGTTGAAGCATTTTTCGGAATGTCTTCTTTATATAAATTATGCATTATTGATGGCATCACATTTTGAGGTTCGTTTAATAAACGTGTTTAGACTTTTCAGAGGCGCTTCCATTGAATCTGACTTCTGAGTTATACATTCTATTTCAAAATTTCATTCTTGAGATACTTGCTTTTCGTGCATTTTGTTTAAATTTTTACTCTGGTAAAATCAATTCGATAAATCGTAAAGAAAAAACGTTTTGGTAGACATCTTAGATCAGAAAAAATAAATTGCATAAATAAAACCAAACAAAATCCTAAATGTTTAAAAACTGTGCCTATCTCTAATTCCAAAAGTTTTTTGGTGTATGTAGAGGATATAATTAAAACAGTATATAAAAATAAAGTGGTACAAAGAAATTGAGTCTTTACCACAAACTCCTGCATAGACCTTAGAAATTTCAAACTATGAATTCTGTATAGATTTAAAAAGCTAAGTTGGAGATATCCAAAGTTTATTATACCATTAGGTTGCAAAGATACAGGTATTAGAACAATCTAGTTTGTTACAAAGACTCAACTGCTTTCAATACAAACTTTATCCCCATTGAAGAATATTTTATTAGACACTTAAAATTAAAATTGCCACCAGTGACATAAATAATGTACATAAACTACATATAATCGCATTCTAAGTTGCCACCTATTGTACTTGTTGCTTACTTATTTATAAAATAAAATAATTTCAAAACCCTATACGGGCAATCATGATCAATACTTAAACTGTCAAACGATCATAGTGTTTTTCCGAAAACACTTGGTGTCTATTTTGTTTAGTTTCGGGAATTTGATTTCAAATTATAAAAGATAGTAGCTTGGAAATCCAGCTTTGACCATAAACTAAAGTTTCTCTAAAATATTCAAAGGCCACATTTAACCCAAGCTAAGAACCTTCCCCTGGTTCCAACGAGATCCTCAGTCATATTTTAAGGCAAATCAGTCAAGAGTTTCCTTAGTTTTGATCGGACATACAAACAGAGATTACAAGATACTATATATATATATAAATATATAAAAAAGTTTTAAAAACATATGTTTACTAAAAATTATAAAAGGTTCTGTATAAGTAATATACTTCAAAAGACGTATAATTCCAAGTGACACTCAAATTATAGAGTGACCAATTTGATTCACAATGATACCCTTTAAACCTCCAACTGAGCATTATTAAAAAAAATTAGATCGTCGTTCATTATCTTAAAATGTGTTTTAGATAAAAAATCCGCAAGCCAATTTTATGGAGAAACCACAATTAAAAATAAACAATTTTCCAAGAGATAAAGAAGGATTGTTTCTTTGATCAGAAAAATGTAAAAAGGGACTGATATGAATCAGACATATCTGCACAATTTTGTGTCATTAGCCCCTTTAAGAATAGATTCCTATTTTTATTTTGATGCCTTTAATCACAGTAACACCCGGCCTTATAGCTTAGATGTCAGTACTTTAATTATTCAAGGGCAAAAATGAGCACCATGAATTTCATTAGCTTTTGAATAATTAATTAGCTGCCAGATTTATAGCTACTATCTTCAGAAATAAATCAATTGATAAAATCAAAATCGAATGTGTCCAAAAAAACATAAATAAAATAAATGGCGATATCTAACTTCTAAAGTCATATTAAAGTTATTTTTCTGTAAAACGTTGCATGATGGGTTTAAACAGTATAGAGGGACAACTACAGTATGTTAGGATGTATTCAAAACATAAGAACGAACTGAAAAAAAAAATCAATATTTACAAATCTCGAAGTCCAACGTTTATTTGGAATAGTAGAAACACATATTTTGAACAGGTTTTTTATTGTAGTAAAATATGTTCAACGTGCACTGCACAGAGTAGAAAATTGTTAGAGAGAATGCAATACATTTCAAAAAAGTGGAGAACCGGACGATATGTTACAACCGTATTTTTTGTTTAAAGCTGAAAACAGAATGTTCATTTCGTTAACTGTATTTTCCGTGTTCTTTAAAAGCTACTGTTAACAATCTCAATATCATTAACGGTGTTAATGGCAAAAATTTAGAAACCTTTAATGGTGCCTATCGTTAACGAGCCGTTAACGATTATCCTTTATAAAAATAGATGGAATAAACATGAAGACAATTTATACTAAACCTCAAAACATGTAAAAACATCAACATGCTTAAAATTCGAATTCAACAAATAAGAGAATTCAACTGAAGAAATACATAAAACGTTTATCATATTCCATGCCGTTTTAAGCAGAAAAAAGAACAAAAGTCGCGTTATTTTGAGAGTAAAACACATTCGCTTCGTTTTATTTTCAACCACTATTTTTTTTTTCTTCCAAAACAGCTATTACATTTCCCAGCCCTACTTCACACACATGTTAGGGCCCTGGAACTCCTGTTAGAAAAATACATTATCTTGAAAATATGGTTCTCACGTTTTAATCTTAAATTAAATAATGATTTATTTCATCCATACGCTTTTAACGTTTAGTAAACTTTTAAAAAAATTTGTAACGGATTGTCTTGCGCAAGGTTATAATGCAAGGACCGTTATTTCAGAGGTATACGCATCTTTTGTACTGAAATGTACTGTCTCTGGGCGATAATGCAAACGCAAGACGGATGTCCAAGCCTGACAAGGGATCCAACTTTCACATTAAAAATCAAAGAAAAATTCTAGTCATAGGAATTTATTATGTGAATTATCAAAATTATCAAAATGTAATGCTTTCAACCTCCTCGGATACTAAACGACCACTGATGCAAACACCCCGACACCCAAGCAAAGTATATATCAATATAATGAAGACGACTTGATATTGAGTTTTTATTGTTCACAAACTTTTTTTAGTTATAGGATCAAACTCAAACGGCCCAGGATCAAATGGCCCAGAGTGAAACGACACGGAGTCAAAGGACAAACGGTCAAAAACGCGACAAAGGGTAAAACGACAAGGGGTCAAAATTGAAAAAAAAATATTTTATGTATTATTTCAGGGTTAGGTTAGGTTAAGACAATTTCTTAGCCAAGCGCTGCGGCTAGGACAGGCTAGTGTAATCAAAAAATTTAATTGATTATTTAAAATGTTCTAAGAATTTTAACCATAGATAAATAAATAAACATAGATAGCTTATGTTCGCAAAATCACCAAGAATTGTACAGTTCGCAAACTCATACTTCTAGGGGTCAAAGTGCACTTTAATGATAAGCGGGGTGGTTTGTGGTTTTAATGGATTTCATAATAGAGTGTAAAATAACTCCGGGAATGGAACTATTTGAACAGCAATATTTTACTGAGTAATATATCATATTGACGAGAACTGAAGAAGGACATGAGAAGGACTTCAAATTTCTCTGTACAGAACTCATGTACACCACAAGTACTCAATGACATAAGAACAGCCAATGTTCACAACCGACCTAGTTAATCTATATAATAGGAATATCTTTAAAACATCTCTGTACATTTATATCTCTTAAGATGAAAAATGTCGTCTTATGCGCAATCTATCTTTATCTATGGTTTTAACTGAGAGTGATTTTTGAACATGATAAAATATTGTAACATTTAAAAGAATACATTCTTAAAAGTGTCAAAGTTTAAACCTGTCTTTTATTTACATATTAAAACAACTGACATTGAATATGCAAGACTGTATATATTGTTCTACAAACCTCAATTAAAGCTTTATTTATTTTTGATTTGAATAGAAGATAGAAATATTACAAGTCTAGCCTATATTATTCTCTTCAATACAATTTAAACATCTTTGATTACGTACAATGACGAAGAAGTAAGCACTGAGAAAGATGTACTGTAAAGGACGCACAGTAAGGACTAATAACGCCCATTTTGGACGTACAGTTAGGACGCATATTGAGGCTGCACACTAATGACAGGGGCATTGTCTTATCCGGACGCAATAATGAGGAATCAATTATAATGATGAAATGTGAGGAACGAATAATAAGAAAGTATATTGAGGAAATTACACTTTAAAACATGAAATACTATATTTTAAATGTATATAAATAAATTGTAGCTATGTAAAACCATTTTTAAATAGATCTATATTCAGGATTCAAGATTTAGTGGAAAAATATCAACAAGTTGGCATTTCCCAAAACTCCCCCGTCAGAGGGATATTTAGATAGAAAAATAGATGTTAGAAAATAAATGCCATGCCAGATACCAACACCAGAAAATAAATATTTAATACCAAATACTAAATACCAGACACCAAATTGTCAGATACTATAACCAAGCCACCGCCATGCGATACGGATACCAGACATTAAGTCATTTATATTTGCATGAATACCAGATTCTGCCGATGTCTAAAATACAAAAACAGATTCCAGAAATAATTTTCAATTAGTCACTCTATTTAATTAATTTTCATCTTATTGACTGTATATTCTTATTTTAAAACCTTTATATTTTATTGATTACATCTGGACTGTCAGGTTTTTAACAGTTTTTTGAATAAGTTATTGAATAAATAGTTTTAGTGTTACGCGAGCCATGCTGCGTTGATAAAGTCTATATGGTGCCCCTGTGAATTCCTGAGTTCTCCCTGCGGATCTGTACAGAACGTATTGTAAAAAACTAGCTTTAGAAGCTGTTTCCAGACCGACTACGCATGCGCGAGTTTCTTGCGTGGAAGTGGGCAGATTCTACCCTAGTATATATTTGTTTTTCATGCAAGTTCGTCTATCATTAAAACCGTGCTAAAAATTCTAGGATCACTGCGGTAATTATGCTTTATATATATATGAATATTGTTTACTTATGTTCGGTTGTGGTTTGATATCTTATAAATGTAATGTATTGGTTCCATTCCACAGTTTTTTAATGCCTGAGTTGATTTATTGCTGTATTTTGTATGATTTTATCACTCGATGCTTTTTCTGTGGGTTTATAAAAAATGATTTAGATTGAAGTCTCGGAGAAATAAACGTTTGGAACCATATTATCATCCTTTATTATGGAGAGCGGTCAGAAGAGGAAGGCTTACAATTCTATCTTGAGAAATACCGCATGGTACTTATAAAGATTTCATTAGGTCTTTAGGAAAATCGCTAAGTAGCGAAACATTCAATCGCAACCTTGTAGGGTACCGGTTAACTAATTGAGATTGAGCAAAAAGTTTCTCTTTGTATGATTTTATCACTCGATGCTTTTTCTGTGGGTTTATAAAAAATGATTTAGATTGAAGTCTCGGAGAAATAAACGTTCGGAACCATATTATCATCCTTTATTATGGAGAGTGGTCAGAAGAGGAAGCTTACAATCCTATCTTGAGAAATCCCGCACGGTACTTATAAAGATTTCATTAGGTCTTTAGGAAAATCGCTAAGTAGCGAAACATTTAGAATATCACTAAATTAAAACTACCAAAAAATATTATCTCTGTGGAACTTGGGTTCGATATAAGATTGTAACAAAAAATTATGAAAAATAAAACAGGCCGGATAGTTAAATAGTTTTTCTTCAAATACGTTAAAAGTACCGCTCTGCAGTTGGTTCAAAAATCTCCTATTTTTGCAAAGAATATTATGCACTGATGAAAGTATAGGTAATAAATCCCACAGCAAGTAAATATAATTAGAATTAATGGGACCAGATGTGCAGTTCTAACATTTAACTATAGCTCAGGAATATATTTGAAATTAGGGAGCAGGGGGGCGTACAAATAACGTAAAAAGGTTAATTTTAAAAAATAATTATTAATATGTATTAAGTAGTAATCTTTTTTGTAAAAAAAGTATTTACACATAATGGTTCTTAATTTTAATATCTTTTCTCATTAAATATTTATACCCGAAGTTTTACTCCACGAGGAGAAACTCTAACATTACTTAAAAAGTCAGCAACCCACTAGTTAGGACACAGTCTTAAGTGTAAAATACATAATTTGAGCCATATCGGTCAATGGATCATAAGTTATGATCGTACATTCAAACAAACAGACAGACAAACAGAGATTAGGCTTAATATGTAATAAAACAAGACATTCGTATATATATATATGTTGCCTATAGCCGGCCAAACGGCTTGATCGATTGGGCTGAAATTTTGTATGCACACTCAGGGGTGGCCGCGAAGTGTTATGGGCTAAATAAGATTTGAAAATCTTTTTTTCTTCAAAATTTCTTATTTTTTCAAAATTTTTATTTCCACGGGCAACGCCAGGCTTTTCAGTTAGTATTTATTAAAGTATAAACTTTTAAATAAAAAATCGAATAATAAATTACACTTGCTTCCATTGCGACTGTATATAATCCCGATTAAAAAAGTGCAAGTTCAAAACTATAATTAAAGATTATAGAAAATTAAAATTAAAATTGATGCAAGTTGCGCTATAGGCCTTGTAGCCTGTAGCATCAATTACATGTGATTTATTAGGTATTCTGCATCTTGAACCCCCCGTCATGAACTGCAAAGTTTTTGCAAGTTTAATTTGTCTTAAACTCAAACAACAACGTTCCGATTAAAGAATACAGATGCATGTGAAATATTTAAAAAGCCTAAATCAATGTAATATGGCCAGAAAACTTTGAAAAAGGAAGATTACAATTTTAGAAACAAGTTATAACTCTAAAAAGTCCAATGAGCATGAGAGACAGCAATTGCATAATGTCTATTTCATTGTGTTCTGGTGATCACTGTATGTGTACAAATAGTAGTGAAGCAATCAAAACATAAGCTATAGGATAAATGTTGCAGAATATTTTCAATAATTTTTAATGTTCTAGAGGAAAGCTTGACTTACGTAGTATTTAAAGGTAAATGATTCGCCACGTCCTGTACAATACAGAAAACGTACGGTTCCGGGTACAGTATCTGTAATTATGTTGTACATTGTACAATGTACAATGCACTGCACATTGATAACCAGAAAGTCAGAACAAAGTAAAGTACATTAATAAAGTATTGTACCCAACATATAGGGTTAATGTACATAAGTTTGAAAAGAAAATTGTACATTGAAGTTGGTTCAAATATTTATATATTATAAACGGAATATTGTACATTATAACTTGACCCGAGGTAAACGCCAGAACCATAGAGAATAGAATATATAGAGAGGAATTTACTGTAAAAAAGTGTTAAACGGCCATTTTGTTGTACTGTTTCCATACTGCAGGTGTACTTCACATATTTATGCTATATAACCTTTTGGACCCTGGAATATCATTTTATAGAAAATCTAAAATTATTTTTAAAAGAAAACCAAATTATGAAATAGGTTGGTTTCATAATTGACCAATGATCATTTCACATAGACTCTATGCCTTCCACTTTACAAACGATGATTTTCCGTTATAACTATGAATCAAATGATGTTTTTTATTTACCTAATTTATTATAAAGTTTATTTAACAGCTTTAAAAAATTCGAAATTGAAATGAATAGTCTAGGGAACATACTGTATTAATGTACTCTACTGCATATAATTTGTGAACATTTACATGATTTGTACACTTTGAACTCCCTTTCAGGCTGAAAGGGACTGAAAAAATTCATACCGAGAGATTCTTTTAATTCCTATCTATATATTCTATTATCTATGGCCAAAATACTTCTCTGAAAAAAAAGATTTCGAAAAAAAGTCCTATAATTTGGCATTAAAAAAGTCCTTTGGGAAAAAGTCATATCCATTTTGAGAATCTAAGACTTTATTTCCAGTTACATTTTTTTCTATGGACTTGAGAAAGATCAGACTTTTTCCTGAAGTTTTTATTTACCAGAAACTTTTGGGTTCAATGTACATAAAGTTAAGGGAATATTGCTCAGTACTAAATGTACATACTACATACCTTCCAGCCAGCCGAACTATTCACATCCGCTCTCTCCTAAAACAAATACAACAATTACAATAAATACAATAAATACAACAAATGCAACAAATACAACAAATACAACAAATTTAACAAATACAACAAATACAACAAATTAAACAAATACAACAAATACAAAAAATGCAACAAATATAAAAAATACAACAAATACAAAAAATACAACAAATACAAAAAATACAACAAAAACAACAAATATAACAAATACAACAAATACCAAAAATACAAAAAATACAACAAAAATAACAAATACAACAAATACAACATATACAACAAATGCAACAAATACAACAATTACAATGAATACAACAAATACAACAAATACAACAAATGCAACAAATACAACAATTACAATGAATACAACAAATGCAACAAATGCAACAAATACAAACAAACAAACAAACAAATATAGTTAAACAAGCACAATCCATCAATTAAAATTATCATTAATTCTACTTTAATGTCTCAATATAATTGAACATTATTTTTAAATGTCTGAAAATGTCAACCCATGACATTTTGCTAAACTCACCTTAAAGTATGGAATATTTACTATCAGCCAATCATAGATCTGAGCAAGGGTGAGACGTTGCCCAGGTGAGTTCTGTATTGCCTAAATACAAGGAAGCTTGGTGTTTATGAGAAAGAAGTACTACTATCATAGGACTGTACTTTCCATTTTGTTCCTTATATCCGATATCCAAAAGTATTTCAAAATTGCGAACATATTGTTAGAATTCGAGAACATATTGTTATATTTTGAGAACATATTGTTAAAATTTGAGAACATATTGTTAGAATTTGAGAACATATTGTTAAAATTTGAAAACATATTGTTAGAATTCGAGAACATATTGTTAGAATTTGAGAACATACTGTTATAATTTGAGAACATAATGTTAGAAATTGAGAACATATTGTTAGAATTTAGCAACACATTGTAAGAATTTGAGAACATATTGTTATAATTTGAGAACATATTGTTAGAAATTGAGAGCATATTGTTAGAATTTAGAAACACATTGTTAGCATTTGAGAACATAATGTTAGAATTTGAGAACATATTGTTAGAATTTGAGAACTTATTGTTAAAATTTAAGAACATTGTTGAATAATAATTAGAGAATAATTTCATTTATGCGATATTTTGTTGGGTACAGAGTAGTTCATATTTGGAATAGATTGTTAGACTTAAATTATGACTTTAGATAGTTAATTGAATATAAAAATGATACAATTCTCTTAATAAGTTGATAAACCTAAAAGTAATATATTTACTTTTCTGACAACATCAAATACATGTTAGATTGCTCAAATGTCATCTTTCTATTCCACAGTTTCAAGATTATCACTCCGATATAAGAGAGTACAGAGATCTATTAAATGCTGGAATATGCAATATTTTCTCAAGTGCGGTCCATTCAGGGATACTTAAAGATCCTTTAGATACAAATACAAAATCTTCAAAAATAGATTAAACTCATAAATTGTAATTTTGTATCATTTGTTTAAAAATTGTATAACTTATCCCCTAAATAGGTATTATATGCAACAAATGGCCGTTAGAGGGCAGTCAAAAACCTTTCGTCCCGGGACAGCTATAGGCCTCCTGAGCCAATCCATGGAGAGCTTTTAAGCAGTTTTTGTATATCTAGTCTCTGATCTCACTAAAAGGACATATACTGTACTTAAATTCCTCTGCAGGTACCTGGAGGTCGGCTCGGTACTTCAGAATATTAATTTAAACCCTACCTGAGTAATAAGATCTGCATAGCTAAAGTTCCCCCAGGGGTTCCTTCGAGATATTTTCTGTTTCTGTTCATTCATACTTTCATCTAAACATAATATATTTATGTATATATTTATATATTTATATACAAGGTTTTTTTACCAGAAATTTTAGTTGCTGCTCTTAAAAGCTGCTTTTAAAAGCGTATTTCTCTGATTTTTCAGTAAAAAGTTTGCGTATTTTTAATTAAATAAATGTCGACCTTTTTTCCATACAAAATTTGTCATTTTTAACCTTCACAGCCAATTTTGACAAGATTAATTCAACCGGTTTGACGTTTATAGAATACAAACTAGGGTTTGAACGAACAATTTCGCAAAAAAATGCAAGGATTTTGTAAGTATTTTACAAACTTTCTCACGAAAATGAATTTAGCAAAAAAATCGAAAACGATGAGAAATTTCGCAAAAAATAATTTCGCAAAAAAGTTGCAACAATTAAATGCGCAAAAACTTATGGAATTCTCTGCTATCAGAGCTCAATATTAGAAGTTTTATTTTATCATAATTGATAATTTCTGTTTCATATTTTATTTTGCAAAATTTTCACATTTTTTCCCTAAGAAACTTGTTTAAATTCGTTAAATTTTCGCATTTTTCGCGAAAAAAGCGAAAGTTTTCGCCTTTTTTCGAGCCGAACCGCAAAAATGCAACATTTTCACTAAGCGATTTACCTTTTTCGCTGGAAACCCTAATACAAACGGACAAGCAAAGTATATATATATATATATAAAACTCTGCTTGTCTGTCCGTTTGTATCAAAAAAAAGTCAAAACGGTTGAATGGAAATGGTCAAAGGTTTATGAATGGTCAAATTTACAAAAAGTTGTCTCCAACAATTTTTGATTTTCGTAAAATTTTCAAAATCCAACAAAACAAAATTGTAAAATCCGCAAATTTTTTATTATAATTTTATCGAAAAGAAAATGCTGACAGATTGAGCAACTATTAAAAGTTAAAATAGAAGATGAGCGAGAAGAGCCCGGATAGTCTATAGTGTATAATATAGTTATATGTATATATATGCATCCCAAGTAACAATTTTGCGGAAAATCCGCGGAAATTCACAGGAATCTTTCCTGGGAATCCGCGGAAATTCCCAGGAATCGTTCACAGAAAATCCAGTGAAAAAGTCGACAGCTTTTCCGAGGAATTTCTCGTATCCCATTCCGAGGAAATTCTCGTAACTCTATCCAAGGATTTTCTTGTAACCAATTCCAGGGAATTTCTTGTTTTCCAATTATTCAGAAAATCCAGAGAAAAATTTGTGGAAATTCGTGGGAATTTCTAGCGAAAAGGTCTTCAGAACCAATTCCTGGGAACTATTCCCAAGATTTTCTCAAGAGTTCCTCAGGAATATCTTGAAATATTCACTAACAAAAGTAGTGTGAATAACTTAACAACTATATTGCCCCTCCAACCTTTTAGAAGTATAACCATCTTCTTAAGGCAGAATGTTATAGTCGTTTTTGTCTTACTGAAGTTGTCATGTATTTTGTTTATTCAGATAATTTTTTTAAAAGATGGTTCTAAAGTAAATTATCATTTTTATCCATTTTGGGCAGTGCATAAAAGAAGAGAACCTCAGAGACACCTATTGGTGAAAAACGGAACTTGAAAATTCTTAGGAATTTCTTAAGAAAAATTCCTGATAAATTATCAGGAATTTCTCGAAACTTATTCTCTTATCTAATTCCCCTAAAAATCCGTAAACTTGGTGACCAAGTTCTAAGAATTTCTCAGGAATTTCCGGAGAAGCATTCCGGAGAATTTCTCAGGAATTTCTTACTGTGAAATTCCGGAGAAAATTCCCAGGAATTTCTCGAAACTAATTTTTTTATTAAATTCCCCTTAAAATCAGTAAATATGGTGACCAAGTCCTAAGAATTTCTCAGGAATTTTCGGAGAAGTAGTCAGGAGAATTTCTAAGGAATTTCTTGGGGTGAAATTCCGGAGAAATTCCCAGGAATTTCTAGAAACTAATTCTCTTAATAAATTCCCCTAAAAATACATAAACATGGTGACCAAGTCCAAAGAATTTCTTGGGAATTTCCGGAGAACATTTCTGGAGAAATTCTGAGGAATTTTGTGGGGAAAAATTCCGGAGAATTTCTCAAGAATTTTTCGAAACTGAGTCTCAAAACTGTGATCCCACAAAAATCTCTCATCTTGGGGACCAATTCTAAGGAATTTCTTGAGAATTTCCGAGGAATCAGTTACAGGAAATGATTCTTGAGAAATTCCTCGGAAATTCCTTAAAGAAAGTCACCACGGTTGGAGAATCTGGGGAAATTCCTCACTTTTGTTACTTGGGATACATATAGTAAAAAGAATTTTGTGTCACCCAAAAAGGATAAAATTTAGAGTCGACTGCATACAGACTTTTCTTTTACATTCAAGGTTCCCTTCAGCTTACAGCTTTCTTTCTTTGCCAAATCATTAAACATGTTATAAAGGTGTATGACATTTTTTTTGGCAGATAATTTAATAATTTTATATTTGAATATTTTTAGGTCTTCCTTAAAATGTCATTCTTTGTGGAAAACCTTTATTGATTGATTCCGCCAGTTTCCAGTTTATATCCCGTTATGTTTTTATTGCGACGAAATTTTAAACTTTTTCAAAATATTTTCTGTTGATCATCATAAAACGGATGAACCGACTTAACAGAATATTTTTTAGAATCACGTTGTCCTCTCTTACAATTAGATATCATCTTTGAAACGTTGAGATAAATTCCTTTCTTTTTATGCATTGTATATTTATATTTATGCATATGTTTTTCTTTGCTGTCATATTAATCTTGTTTTTTCGTTGACATTTTCCTTTTTATTGGAATACTGTGCCCCCTCCCCTACTTAATATATTAGTATTGGTTTTATCAAAAACCTGTTTCTAGAAAAGTAGTATACCCTTGTTTGAAAACACCCTACCTCATTAGTTTTAAAACTAGGGGAGAGCAAAAGTTTGAGTTTTCTACGCTAGGATTCAGCAGAAATAGCAAAAACTAGGTTACCAATTTTCTACCATATTATTTACTGAAAACATTTTTACGAGATAAGGTGGAATGAAAAGAACATTTTTCTAATTACACAGGGAAAATAAGTCATCTTCGATTTAGGCGGATTTTTTTCATGAGAGGTAAAAAGGGAGAGAGGTAGAAAGGTAGAGAAGTAGAAAGGTAGAGAGGTAGAAAGGTAGAGAGGTAGAAAGATAGAGAGGTAGAAAGGTATAGAGGTAGAAAGGTAGACCACTTTATTAAAAGCTTGTGAGACGTAAAGCCTCGTTTTTACACCTTCTTTACCATACATATATAAATATCAGAAATCAAAGACGACTTTCAAGTCGTCTCTCAATTTCCATGTTTATAGGGACACCTTGTAGGTTGGACTGAAGGGAAATATTTTCTACAACAGGGTGGACCGAATAGACCAGTTTTTTACGATAGGGTGGCTGAAAAGACATGTTTTCTATGATAGGGTAGAATGAAAATACTAGTTTTCTATGATAGGGTGTCTACGATAAGGTGGAATGAAAAGACCAGTTTTCTTTGATTGGGTTTCTACGATATGGTGGAATGAGAAAGACCAGTCTTCTATGATAGGGTGGAATGAAAAGACCAGTCTTCCATGATAGGGTGGAATGAAAAGAACAGTTTTCTTTGATTGGGTTTCTACGATAGGGTGGAATGAGAAAGACCAGTCTGCTATGATAGGGTGGAATGAAAAGAACAGTTTTCTATGATGGGTGTCTACCATAAGGTGGAATGAAAACACCAGTCTTCTATGATAGGGCGGAATGAAAAGAACAGTTTTCTATTATAAGGTTTTTACGATAAGGTGGAATGAAATACCAGTTTTCTATGATAGGGTGGAATGAAAAGAACAGTTTTCTATGATAGGGTTTCTACGAAAAGGTGGAATGAAATACCAGTTTTCTATGATAGGGTGGAATGAAAAGAACAGTTTTCTATGAAAGGGTGTCTCCGATAAGGTGGAATGAAAAGTTTTCTTTGATTTGACCCAAGGGTGAAGTGAAAACAACGGTTTTATACAGAAAGGTGGAGCACTGACTTAGATATACCAGTTAATTCCAGTTTTGACAATTAAGATATATATATATATATATATATACATATAGATACTAATAGAGATGGGCTCGTTCGTTTTTTTCTCATTACGTTCGTTCATCGATCGTGAAGAACCTAATTTGTTGTTTTTTCATTCATTCAAAAAAATTGACTTCGTTCGTTCTCAAAGATATTGTTAATTTTTTATCTATTTCTTTCGTTTTCTCAATGAACGATCGTTTAGTAAAATCGTTCGTTCAGTATAACTATAACCGTTTAACTTAGTTTGAAATATCAAAGGTTTACACCCCTAGGTTGCAAAGATAGGGTTTGAAAATTTGAGTTTGTGTCAAAGACTTTATTCTTTTTGGTTCTAAAACGAGGACCTAACGATTTAAAAACAAAGGAACACGCCCAGCCCTAACCAGAACCAGAGCTATAAATATTAGGAGATCTAGATTTAAAGATACATACACACAATATATCTACATTACATATTACATACTGATATATAAATAGATCTAGATATATCGATACATGGCACACAATATATCTACATTACATATTACATACTGATATATAAATAGATCTAGATATATAGATACATGACACACAATATATCTACATTACATATTACATACTGATATATAAATAGATCTAGATATATCGATACATGGCACACAATATATCTACATTACATATTACATACTGATATATAAATAGATCTAGATATATCGATACAAAAAGAATCATCAAAATGATCAACATATTGAAACTTGATGATTTTTTTATATTTTGTGTGTTAACAATGTTTAAAAAAGGTTTGCATGTAAAGTACAAAATCTATTTCTAAGATAATGTTTTTTCATACCAAAAATGTTATTTACTACTGTTAAATGCTGCTAAAATACTTTTTTATGTTGCTAAATTTTCAAATATCGATCCCGAAAAAGTTGATGGAAAGAAGTAAAGAATTAAACAAATTTTTTAATCCATGCTGCTTGGGGATGCATTACTTTCTTTACATCACCCTATATATATTTGATATCATAGATTATTCGTAGAAAAAACATATGTGTTTATGAAAACCAGTTTAACTTATCTATGAATCATTCTCATCCTGAGAAACTGTATAGGACTGATGATAAGAGGGGGGGGGAGGGGGAATTGGGGGATGTAAATAATCCATCTATCTCTGGCTATGACGTTTTTAAAAAATACTACTTTACTAGAGGATATAGTAGTAACCAGAAAACAGTGGAGTCATTATCGTCTAACTACATCTTTTTATTAAGAAATGTCACTTTGGTTTCTTTAATTTGTAATTGATCGTAATAGATCGTAATAGATCGTAATAGATCGTAATAGATCGTTTATAGCTCTAAGATTTAATTGGGACTAATAAAAAATTGATAAAAATACAATTAATGTTTAGAAATGAAGAGGGCAAATATAAAAAATTTTCTTGCAGAAAATACCAGTTTTTTCGAATTTTATGCGCGTAGTTAACGTTCAAGCTTGGAGATATGGGATATATCTTGGCACATTTGAGGAAATACATTATTTACTAATAAATCAGTGTCAAATTCCTAATGGCATTAAAAACAAGCAAAGACGATACACATAGATTAATAACAACACAGATACAATACTAGTTGTCGTCTTTTCAAGATTTAGGGGCTTTTCGTTCACAATAACCCTTAGACAGACGCCCAAAGAAGTTACGCAAATTCGGCGTAAAATTACAAGACATGGATAGAGCCATTTCTGTGCCGCATGTGCATAACTCCTTTGGGTTTAGGCCACAGGGTATTGTGAACGAAAAACCACTAAATCTTGAAAAGACGACATCTAGTGTTCTATCTGTGTTGTTATAAAGAAATGTTTCTGACCTTCATCTGGATCTTCTTGGATTTCTTCCGAAAGTAAAGGTAGAAGGGTAGGGGGTGAAGGGTGTGAGGAGAGGGGTAAAAGGGCGGGGGGTCCAGCCCTAGATGGATTAGATCCAGGTATACAGCAGTAAGGACCTCCAGGTTGGGAAGGAAAGGTGACCGGTGTACTAGGATCCGCGTCATAAAAGCTCTCATTCATATCCTGGCTCTAAATATAGAATTGAGTTGGAATAAGTCTCAAACTATAAACATTTCATGTTTCGAAAATTTCAAAATTTATAATTCAAAATATCAAAGGTTTCAGACATCAGATTGCAAAGATTTTCATGCTTAAGGCGAATAATCAGTTGTTAATATTAATAGAAAATATCTTATTTTCTTTGATTATTCACCTGTAACATTCGTGGCCATGTGTTGCATCTCGTTCTTTGGATTGGAGAAAGGGGGTTTGGGGAAGGGGCAGGGGGTATATGATGAGGGGATGGTGCAGTGGGGTGGTGATGGGGGGAAGGCGCTGAAGGAAGATGGTGTGGAGAAGGGGTTGAGGGGAGATGGTGGGATGAAGATATAATAGAGAGAAGGTTTGAGGAATTTATATGAGATGAATTGATTGACTGGGATTGATGCGATAAATGAAGAGATGGATGAGGATGAGGATGAAGATGAGAATGAGGATGAGGATGAAGGGGTTGAGGATGCAGGTGAGGGGATATCACAGTCGAATGAGGGCGGGAGGGAGGGAGGCGGGGAGAAATGATTGTAGGAAGAGAATGAATATTATGAGAAGGGGATCTGGGAGAAAGAATCTCTAAGCTAGAAGGTCCGATCTCAAGTTTGGTTGGAGACCGAGGCTGTATCCTGGTGGAGGTTAACTGCTGGAGGGTGACAGGTATAAGTGCAGGCTGGAGATTGGAGGGATTAAAGCAGGGAAAATTAGAGGCAATCTCTTCTAGCTCCTCCATCTAGAAAAATAACAAATTAAATATGCAGATTTCGAGCACTTACAAAACGTTTCCCCGCAAAATGTTTCCCCACTAAACGTTGCCCCACAAAATGTTTCTTGAGTGACACAAAACGTTTCCTGCCATGAAACGTTTCCTCCTCAAAATGTCTCTTTGACACACACAATTTCCTGCTACGAAACGTTTCTTCTACTAAATGTTTCCTGTTACAAAACATTTCCTGCACAAAATTCCTCCTCTCCTGCTAGCAGGAAACGTTTTGTGCTGGAAATGTAATGCGAGGAAGCGTATTGTGACAGGATACATATTGTGGAGGAAACATTTTTTAAAGGAAACCTTTTGTATTGGAAATGTTTTGTTAGATTACGTTTTGTGGGAAAAATTTCGTGCAGGAAACATTTTCTGGGGAAACGTTTTGTAAGTGCTCCGCAGATAAATCTGTTGTCACTGGTGGTGTCATACAGTGAGCCCATAAACTGTGGAATAGGTAGCCGACATTAAGCTATTTTATATGTATTTGATGCTATTTAAAAGCAAAAAGTTTCAACAGTAGCTTGGAAATCAACTTATAAGGTAAAATGAGTCTGTGTGCACTGCAAACAATTGCTGTATTTCATGTTCTTTGGACAGGGGCAGCTTATGATATTATTCAGGTGGGGGGAGGAATATTTGAAATATGGCGCACGTCTCTCCCCTCCCTGGCAAACATTGTCCCCCCCCCTTTTATTTTTTTTTACAGTGAATTGGTTAATTTTATGTCAAACCCATGAGCAGCTTGAGAAAGAATATTTGAAATTTTATTAAAAATATTCAATTTGATTTTTAATAAAAAAAAATTTTTGGATATAGAAAGTGCCTGCTCTCTCTTCTTGCACTTGTAATTTTTCCAGTGGGGGTTAGTCCCCCCAATTTTCCAGAGGGGGGGGCGTCCCTAATCCCCCCTCATAAGCCGTTTCTGGACTAGTTAACGTCATAACTTATAATCGTCATCGAATTCAACAGTTATAAGGGCATCATTTTATATGTTATTCAATTAATTCTTTTGTTTCAACCGGGCATAACTAGGTCATGAGTTCGGCAAGGTATACAAACAAATTCACCTCAATGTTATTGGACTCATGGTCCAGAGTAGGCAGAAGGAGAGAATTACATTGATCCAACTCCTTCCAATACTCCTGAAATAGGAGAGAATTACATTGATCCAACTCCTTCCAATACTCCTGAAATAGGAGATTATTACATTGATCCAACTCCTTCCAATACTCCTGAAATAGGAGATTATTACATTGATCCAACTCCTTCCAATACTCCTGAAATAGGAGATTATTACATTGATCCAGCTCCTTCCAATACTCCTGAAATAGGAGAGAATTACATTGATCCAACTCCTTCCAATTCCCTAAAATTGATCAAACTGAATGTAAAGTGCACAGTGTACAGTAGGTAAAGTTTGAATCTGTACCCTGTATCCAACTGTACGGTTTAAATCTATGACTGTACCTAAAAGTATATGTATAGAACTGTTTAAATATGTACAGTACGGTTAAAATACGTACCTGACTGTACAGTACGGATTAAACATGTACCTAAATGTACAGTACGGATTTGATCTGTACCTTACTGTACATTACAGTTTAAATATGTACCTCTAACTGTACAGTATGGATTAAACATGTACCTGACTGTACAGTATGGACTAAACATGTACCTGACTGTGCAGTACGGATAAAACATGTACCTAACTGTTTAGTACGGATTAAACATGTACCTAACTGTATAGTACGAATTAAACATGTACCTAACTTTTAACTGTACAGTACGGATTAAACATGTACCTGACTGTACAGTACAGATTAAATATGTACCTGACTGTACAGTACGGATTAAACATGTATCTGGCTGTACAGTTCGAATTAATTCTGTACCTAGCTGTACAGTACGGATTAAACATGTACCTGCCTGTACAGTACGGATTAAATCTGTACCTAGCTGTACAATACGGATTAAACATGTACCTGTACAATACGGATTAAACATGTACCTAACTGTACAGTACGAATTAAACATGTACCTTACTGTACATACGGATTAAACATGTACCTAACTATACAGTACGGATTAAACATTTGTACCTAACTGTACATACGGATTAAACATGTACCTAACTATACAGTACGGATTAAACATGTACATAACATACAGTACTGGTTAAACATATGTACCTAACTGTACATACGGATTAAACATGTACCTAACTGTACATACGGAGTAAACATGTACCTAACTATACAGTACGGAATAAACATGTACCTGACTGTAAAGGCCCGTCATCCCGGAACACTCTCCCGAAACTTCAACTATTTAATAATAAAACATTTTTTAAAATTTTTATTTGAATAAAATTATCAAATATGTTAGCTGGCAACACTTAAAAGCATCCTTCTGTTCTGAATAAGAACGCAGTGGACCCATCTATTCTACCGCAATATATTTGATAATAATGGAATATTGCACTTTATAAAGAGACGTAAAATTTGAGTCTTTGTCACAATCTCAAATCTCCTAATTCCAATATAAACTGAGCACTTTACACAATTTGTAATTGTCTAATTCTTATATCTTTGCCTCATAATTTTGTAAAGCAATGTTATTTATAAACTATTCAAAGCTGAAAACTTTAGAATACTTTAAACTTTAAAATATTAAAGGTCTACAACATCGGGTTGCAACGATATTGAAATTAGAAAATCAGAGTGTGTGGCAAAAACTCAATTTCTTTACCAAATTGAAAAGATAAACAGTTGAAAATACACTAACAAATAAATCTGTTTTATATCTTTCTATTTAAAATTGCATTGAAGGGAAGATGTCATAAAGTAAATAATTTCTATTAGTTTAATCATATTTGTATATCTCTTAAAGGGACTATAGACGTTACTTTAAACATATTTTATATCTTTTAAAGGGACTATCATTACTTTAAACATATTTTATATCTCTTAAAGAGACTATAGACGTTACTTTAAACATATTTTTATATCTCTTAAAGGGACTATAGACATTACTTTAAACATATTTTATATCTCTTAAAGGGACTATGGACATTACTTTAAACATATTTTTATATCTCTTAAAGGGACTATAGACGTTACTTTAAACATATTTTATATCTCTTAAAGGGACTATAGACATTACTTTAAACATATTTTTATATCTCTTAAAGGGACTATAGACGTTACTTTAAACATATTTTATATCTCTTAAAGGGACTATAGACATTACTTTAAACATATTTTTATATCTCTTAAAGGGACTATAGACGTTACTTTAAACATATTTTATATCTCTTAAAGGGACTATAGACATTACTTTAAACATATTTTATATCTCTTAAAGGGACTATAGACATTACTTTAAACATATTTTATATCTCTTAAAGGGACTATAGACATTACTTTAAACATATTTTATATCTCTTAAAGGGACTATAGACATTACTTTAATCATATTTTTATATCTCTTAAAGGGACTATAGACATTACTTTAAACATATTTTATATCTCTTAAAGGGACTATAGACATTACTTTAATCATATTTTTATATCTCTTAAAGGGACTATAGACATTACTTTAATCATATTTTATATCTCTTAAAGAGACTATAGACATTACTTTGAACATATTTCATATCTCTTAAAGGGACCATAGACATTACTTTAATCATATTTTTATATCTCTTAAAGGAACTATAAACGTTACTTTAATCATATTTTTATATCTCTTAAAGGGACTGGAGACATTACTTTAAACATATTTTATATCTCTTATTTTATATCGATTAGGGTCTCTGAATGAGATATCCATGGTTTTCTCTCTTATTTTCAATCGTGGTTTCATAAAAAATTTAATACGTTTGACTTTAAAAATTGACGATATCTTCAACATTAATGCTCAGATAAAGGTTTAAAGGGTACCGTTGTGAATTGAGCATAGACCTCTTTTAAGGGTCATAGTATAATATAATAAAATAATGATAATAATACAAATTATATTAATTATTATAATAATCATTTTAATAATTTTAATAAAGATAACAGCAACAATTATGCTGATTATATCTCAAAAAATGCTTATTATAAAAAAAAAATTCTCCTTTTTATAAATGATTTTTTAATAATTATTACCTAACATGAATATTATGTAGAGTAAGCTAGCATATTATTTGAAGAAATCACCTAAAGTTCACTAAACTATCAAATCTCTGAAATAAAAAAATTAATTTACAAGGTAGCGCGAATATAACAAGATAAGATACAACTAATTTTTTTATCTCACAAACTGAATTGGATTACAGTTTTTTTCAGGAATTTGTCAAACTTTTCTCAATAAGGATTATTTTAAAGAGATACCAATTTTTTTTTCTTAACTATGCCGCTATTTTCACTAATTATGGAACTACTATCCCGAAACAACATTAGGTACATATATTTTAGAATTTTCATCTAAAAAGGTAAGCTCAATAATTTATTGAAATACAAATAAAGTTACTAGACTTAAGATAAAGTAAACTTACAAAACAGAGTCATGAGTCTTTGCCACAAACTCAAATGTTCTTATCCCTATATCTTTGCAACCTGATGGTTTAAATCATTGATATTTCAAATTTAGAATAAATTGTCCAACAGAATTTTTACTTTGAAATATCCAAAGTATAATATTGGCTTGCAAAGATATAGGAATAAGAAAATCAGAGTTTGTGTCAAAAGACTTAATTTCTTTGCTAAATTTAGAATAGAGGTTTTATTTAAAACTTGAGAAGAATGATGAACTAGAATTTTCTTATAAACTCCCTTCAGTTTTATCAGTTTAAAAAAGATAACAAATTACAGCTATGTATACAGAGTAAAGGAAACCTTAAAAATGTTTAAATTATCTTCAAAACTCAGAGCGAAACTCTAATTTGAGGAAACCAATTGTCATTGAAACATAAAATACATTTTAAACTGCATATTTCCGTCAAAATATAAAGAATAAATATTAAAAATATTATGAATAAAAAAGATATTGTCTAGAAGTGAGATCGAATAGTTTCGTTTAAAAAGGGCTGCGACTGCATACGAATAATGAAATAACCTCCATTGAAAATATTTTGTCGTTTTTTAACCTTGGAAAGTGTTAAATTTTAATTAATTTTATTAGGAACAAGTTTGACTATAATCAGTTTTATTAGAAACAAGTTTGACTATAATCAGTTTTATTAGAAACAAGTTTGAATATAATCAGTTTTATTATAAACAAGTTTGAATATAATCAGTTTTATTACAAACAAGTTTGAATATAATCAGTTTTGTTATAAACAAGTTTGAATATAATCAGTTTTATTATAAACAAGTTTGAATATTATCAATTTTATTAGAAACAAGTTTGAATATAATCAGTTTTATTACAAACAAGTTTGAATATAATCAGTTTTATTACAAACAAGTTTGAATATAATCAGTTTTATTATAAACAAGTTTGAATATTATCAATTTTATTAGAAACAAGTTTGAATATAATCAGTTTTATTACAAACAAGTTTGAATATAATCAGTTTTATTACAAACAAGTTTGAATAAAATCAGTTTTGTTAGGAAAAAAAAGTATTAGACAAAGTTTTAAAGGCCCTTGCTGCTAATCGGAAACTTTCAAACTAAGCGGTTGAATTAACGTGTTTAGTCCCTTTAAATTAAGTGGTTGAAATTACGTGTTTAGTCCCTTTTAATTAAGTGGTTGAATTAATGTGTTTAGTCTCTTTAAATTAAGTGGTTGAATTAACGTGTTTAGTCCCTTTAAATTAAGTGGTTAAAATTACGTGTTTAGTCCCTTTAAATTAAGTGGTTGAAATTACGTGTTTAGTCCATTTGAATCAAGTGGTTGAAATTACGTGTTTAGTCCCTTTAGAAAATTAAAATCTTATCAGTTCGCTCTTTCTGCGTAATAATTATAAGATAAGTGATATTCATTTTAAAGAATAAATTATAAAAAAAATGTTGTTTAAACACAAAGAGGAGGATTTATAAATATTCTCAAGATTTTTGTTGTTTATTTATTCACGTGTCAAAAACTCAAAATAATGATGCTTTTTACGTAAATAAACCAATCTTTTAATAGCATACATTTTTTTAAATACTTTGCAAAATCAATTTTTATAGATTTTAGTTAGTGATGGGGTATAAGGCATTTGATTTTATGAATTAGGTTTTCCTTGGAATATTATAGGATAGGTTTACTTTAAATGATAGAAGTTTAAAAGAACTATGGTAAATCATGTATTGCGCGATTGTTCATAAATTTTTGCTAATGAGAGAATTTGAAATAATGCGTTTTTTTCCCGGACCACCTTCGACACAATTTTCCCGGACCACCTTCGACACAATTTTCACTTGATTTTTTTCCCAATTAATTTTATCATTTTTCTTCGGCAGAAGGAATGCGGTTGATCTGTTTTTATTTATCGTTATGTTTTTTTCATCGTTTAGAAAATAATTAATTTAAGTTTTAATATTTTAATATTATAAGCAGGATGATTAGAGGGTTATTTCTGATTTGGAAAGTCTTGGAAAATTGATTAAAGTCCAAGAACAATGATTTGCCCCCTTAATACTATCTATAAACTATCCCGCGATTAGCCCCTTGAATTTTTGTATACCTATGATGCCTGGAATCCGTTGATTGAATTCCGGAAATAGTTGAGAATTGAGGCGAACACTTTGTGAACTAAGTTAAGGGACCGAATTTAATGAATTTGACTAAGTCGATGAAGTAAGTATATTGCCGAATCAAATTTTAATGAACAATTCAAAATAAAGATTAAGGAAGGATTTGAATCGGTGATTCAAATTTGAACCTGCTGTAGGTAACAACTTACATGTCAATCAAACAGTGCACAACTAAGAAATTCACGGATTAGGCACCTTATTACACGGAATTAAAAGTTTCCATGGATAAAAGGTTAAAGACTATATATTATAGTATACAAAAGTTTCCGCTACTAAGAATAAAACACTTTTTTTACCTACGCGAGGTGTTTTTTCGAAGAGAATTTTACAAAAATTTGGAAGAGAAAATGAAAATTTAATTCGTTTTCGTTTCATGTTCAAGCAGAAGCAAAGATTTCTAAAAAGTTAAATAAAAATAAATGTACAAAACGTTTATTATTTTTGAACCAAGCAGGAAAAGTGACTACAATACACAGACAGNTCATTAAATTTTATAGCATTTCTCAATGCCTCAGCGTCAAAAAAACTTTTTTGTACGTCCTTAAAAAATAAAAATAAAACAATCAATCACATTTTCCGACCTTTTTTGACATTTTTTTTTCAAAACATTGACCGTCCTTTTTACCGTCCTGTCCCTCTGCATCAAAATTTGTTTTTCTTAAAAAATCCTTTTAATCACTATACCTTAAAAGTCAACAATTTTAATGGGCAGTAAATTGGGATGGGGGGTAGGGCGGTCCAATGACCCCCCTCCCAGCCTGTTTAGGGTTTAAGTGTCCCTCAATGCAAACATATGGCAATGCCCGATTCAAAAAGGTACGCTGTAGACCGTTATTTGATCAATAATAAGGAAGATATTTTCGGTTTTCTATGATTAAAGAATTTAATTGTGACATTACTATTTGTTTTCCTGCAAAAATTCAGCCTTTAAAATTATAAACCTTGATATGCAAAGCAATATAAAGGTTACCGTTGGTAATTGGAAATTGTCATCTTTTGTTGAGGGTCATTTGAAATTATGTTTACAGTCCCTTTAAACATTTTCACTTTTATAAGTTTTGTATCATAATATTAATGAACTTAAAAAAAAATAATTTAAAAACAGTTCTTGATTAAATCCTGTTTTTGCGCAAATAATCTTTAACATGAAATATCAATCCAAGGCCTATCTTTGACTTATTAGAAGAAGTCTTGCGTAGATAGAATAGACACATTTAACTAAAACCTTTAACCTGACTTACTTGGTCAAAATTGTGATTCGGTTTTTGACTTAATTAAAGGGAGTGTTTGCGAAAAATAATTGAATCAGGAATCGAATGGTATCCGATATTTGTTCTTCTATTGTTACCTTTCATCGCTTAGTTGTAATCTCTGTTTGTTTGTTTGTCCGATCATAACCAGGAACCCCTTGACAGATTTGCCTTAAATTTTGATTGGGGAACTCGGGAAAACCACGGGAATGTTCTAAGCTTGGTTTCCCGGTAAACGGCGCGAATAATTATGAGTAACCATGGCAGCACCAGGTTCCCAAGCTAGTTTTATTTATATAAAGTAGTATTCTCTGTATATTTTTTCGTATGTCCAATCATAAATCAGGAACCCTTGGACTGATTTTCCTCAAATTCTAAATGTTCTTAGTCTGGTCTTAAAATTCAGTTTAGTGCAGGTTGACTTTTAAAGGGAAAACTCCAGGCACAGCTGGGTTTCCAAGCTCGTATGTTTTAATGTTTACGTGCAATAAGAAATATATGATAATTGATTACTTAATTCAAAGTCAAATTTTCTAATCCTTGCAATCTGATGATGCAAAATTTTTGATATTTCAATTTCAAACTTTAATAATTAGATATTTCAGAATTATTAAATCTACATCAGAGATGATAACTTTAGAATTGTGGATATCGAGACTCATTTTGATCTCCACTTTTCGTTAATCTTCAGATTAATAGCAGCATCTTAATTTTGATATCTAGGAATTGCTTAAAATGCAACCAATCATATATTATAGTTTGCAGAAATAGATCAGCCAATCAGAAGCTTTAATAAGAAAACTCTCATTGGTCGGAACCCAGCAGGAATAACAAAAAGAGAGGATTAAGCAGAAAAATGCACAGTGGATATTGAGATTAAGCATTGATTAAAAATCAAGCTCAGGTTGCAAAGATTATAAAGATTAGCAATCTAGGGTATAAATTATCGAGGAGAGTTATCAATTCCTTTGAATTTAACCACACATGCTGCTCGTGAGTCGTGATAACATTCTTCTTACTAGTATTTGGAATACTATCTATAAACTATCCCGCGATTAGCCCCTAAATCATGCAAAGATTGAAGATAAGAATTATAAGTTGGATACTGGATTCCAACAATTCATCACAGGGTTTTCAGAAAAAATATTATTAAAAAAAATGTCAATTGTATCCAATGACAAATTGTGATTGTGTACGGTGTATAAAGTGTATACCAAGAGGTTAAGAGGTTGCGCATTTTGTGAGTTTTTCAAAATGTGGTCTACCCTTTTTTGTTTCT